CCGCACAGGTAGGTGGCGGGGCCGCGGAGGTAGGTGGCGGGGCCGCACAGGTAGGTGGCGGGGCCGCGAAGGTAGGTGGCGGGGCCGCACAGGTAGGTGGCGGGGCCGCGGAGGTAGGTGGCGGGGCCGCACAGTTAGGTGGCGGGGCCGCGAAGGTAGGTGGCGGGGCCGCACAGGTAGGTGGCGGGGCCGCGGAGGTAGGTGGCGGGGCCGCACAGGTAGGTGGCGGGGCCGCGAAGGTAGGTGGCGGGGCCGCGTAAGGTGGCGATGGGCGCGACGGGCGCGACGGGCGCGACGGGCGCGACGGGCGCGACGGGCGCGACAGGCGCGACGGGCGCGACGGGCCGAAAGGGCGGCGCGAAGGGCCGTAGGGGCGGCGCGAAGGGCCGTAGGGGCGGCGCGACTCGGGCCGGAGCAAAACGCGCTCCGGGCAGGAAAAAAAAAAAATAATTTCGTGGTGGTGGGCCCTAGGAATCGTTCCCACTAGGGAACCTGCTCGATACCATGAGAAGAAACGAGGAATGAAATGACTAAGTGAAAGTTGGGTACAAAAAGCAAACCCTAGAAAACTGTACCCCATATGTGCCACCCCACTATAGCCTACAGTAGCTATGTCATATAAATCTGACATCGCAACTGATTTGGATAGGTAGACAAGCGTCGGTGCGCAGAACGGACCAAATCTGTTCAAGGATAGGCAGTCAACACACTATCAGCAGTATAGTGCCCCGTCACTCGTTTTAACTCCCGTTCCTTTGTACCAATAGCCTCTACTAAGTATATAGGTGAGGCTTTCCGGGTTTGAGATCAATCGCAACTGATTTGGATAGGTAGACAAGCGTCGGTGCGCAAAACGGACCAAATATGTTCAAGGATAGGCAGTCAACACATTATCAGTAGTATAGTGCCCCGTCACTCGTTTTAACTCCCGTTTCTTTGTACCAATAGCCTCTACTATGTATATAGGTGAGGCTGTCCGGGTTTGAGATCAATCGCAACTGATTTGGGTAGGTAGACAATCGTCGCTACGCAGAAAGGACCAAATCTGTTCAAGGATAGGCAGTCAACACACTATCAGCAGTATAGTGCCCCGTCACTCGTTTTAACTCCCGTTCCTTTGTACCAATAGCCTCTACTAAGTATATAGGTGAGGCTGTCCGGGTTTGAGATCAATCGCAACTGATTTGGGTAGGTAGACAAGCGTCGGTGCGCAGAACGGACCAAATCTGTTCAAGGATAGGCAGTCAACACACTATCAGCAGTATAGTGCCCCGTCACTCGTTGTAACTCCCGTTTGTTTGTACCAATAGCCTCTACTATGTATATAGGTGAGGCTGTCCGGGTTTGAGATGAATCGTAGCTGATTTGGATAGATAGACAAGCGTCGGTGCGCAGAACGGACCAAATATGTGCAAGGATAGGCAGTCAACACACTATAAGCAGCTTTGAGCCCCGTCAGTTGTTTTAACTCCTGTTTCTTTGTACCAATAGCCTCTACTATGTATCTAGGTGACGCTATCCGGGTTTGAGATCATTCGCAACTGATTTGGATAGGTAGACAAGCGTCGGTGTGCAGAAGGGGTCAAATATGTGCAAGGATAGGCAGCCAATACTTTATCAGCAGATTAGAGCCCCGCTTCTTATTTTAGCTCCGTTTCTTTGTACCAATAGCCTCTACTATGTATCTAGTTGAGGCTGTCCGGGTTTTAGATCATTTGCAACTGATTTGGATAGGTAGACAAGCGTCGGTGCGCAGAACGGACCATATCTGTTCAAGGACAGGCATCGGCGCTACATGGTGTCGTTTTAAGGCTGGTATTTTTTTAATGCGGTGTCTTATTACCGTATATACCATTAGAAGTATGCAATTCCATCGATGCTACAAATTGTCGCTTTAGCCGAATGCCGTTTGTTAGTGTACCATATAATTATAATATGGTAATATCTGACGTTTTAAGCATATTTCTTGAACCAGATTACGCAAATGTTTTAGATACCACAAACTAAAGTAGCACAATATGGATTTGATATACACAATTATAGTCAAAGATATGTAACAGCAAGGTTTGTAAAACCATTTATGAGAGTACAGATTTCTGTACATCAAGTTTGATTGTACATAATTTGAAGACACTTCTATAACTCGAGTGGCACGACACGTGGCTTTCTAGGCCACGACTGTTTTACACTGTTCTGTTTTGCCTCCAGCCGTTCGATGAAACTCTCTCATCTCCGTTCATTCTGGCGGTAAAATCGTTTCCCGCGTCCACGCTCCCCTGCACCGAAATCGAACCACTGTGTAAACGAGCGAGAAGGTCTGGTTCATGGGCAAGTGAACAGTGAGATGGCCCGCAATAATGACAACCTTCCAGCACAGTACCCGAACGACAGTCAACGCCCATCAACGGGATGAATCCCACCATGGAGAGTTGCCTCAGAACAAATTTGCTGTGTAAACGAGAGTTCATGATAGTTCACGACAGTTTCCACGCAGTAAACCAAACGAAAAAAGTAGTCGGGCAATGTCCCTTGTGAACGAACGTTTACGAGGCAGATTTGAACCCCAGAACAGACCCCCCCCACCCCACCCCCCCCCCCCCCCCCCTCCTCAGACCCGCATTTTCACATTTTTGCGATGTAGTACTGCATTGCTGCTTACATCGACTTGCATGCACGAGTCGATGTGAGAAATGATATGTTCCATCCACCCTGAACTGTGGACCATATTCGTTCACGTATTAGCCATGCAAGCCAATTTCGGGTCATCAAGTTCAGGGCGCGTGGGTAACATTTTTTTAGTTCTCGAGTCACTGGCCTGGAGGCGGTCCTCCTCAGACCTGGCCTGTCCTGACACTCCGGTTTTAAGCGGACACTCTACACCCTAATTCTCGGTCATCTCACCAGCGGGCGTCTGGCAGGCTGATTTTGTCTTATTCAAATTGTCTTAATGAATCATATCGAGCCATCTTTAACCGCTTTCAACCATTCTGTTTCTTCCTGCAGGTTCGTATAACCGAGGTCAGTCTAGCGAGAATGAGGGTGTACTTTGTTTGGGCGGAGTTTCAGGAGGTTCTTGAGTCGCTCGTCTGTCAGAACCATAACCCAACCAGCAGGAAATGGTCGGATTTCGTTTTCCCTTTCAGTTCTCACGCCATCGTGCAATACCGCCCTTTCCCGCCTTCGAGGTTCTGCTCTTCCTCTTGTAGTCTCTTGCTAACGCCGTGTGAGCCATGTCTTCTCCTGAAAAAGACCGATCGTTGTTAACCCTAGCATCGACGTGCCTTCGTAGATCCGCGTCGTCGTCCTTGTTTGATCATTTACCAGATGACCCCCTCTGCATCATTTTCCGTTTGCTTGGCCAACAGTCGCCTCTCAACTTGAACCACATCTTGGTCTGCAAGCGATGGTGTCACCTCACTTACCTCTCTCAACCGTCCATCTCCATGCGCTCCAGAGGATGATTTTATTCGAGCAGACACCGACCTTCTTAAATACTTGTCAAAGTTTTCAGAATTGACGTCTCTAGAGCTACGCACTTGTTTTTCCGATGACGAGTTCGAGTTTCTTTCCGGTCTCGGATTCGCATGTCCTAAGTTGACTCGTCTGGACCTTAGAAACCAGCAGGATGCCGCTGTGCCTTGGGATGGTCTGGATGCACTCTTTACTGCTTGCACTGGGTTACAGCATCTCTCACTGGCCTTTAATGAGTCTCCTGCAATTCTCCCTCCATCCTTCTTCAGCCTGTCTTCGCTAACGGAGGTCTCTTTGGCAGCCGATTTTATTAGCTTTCCCAATGGATTCGGCAGGTTGAGGTCCTTGAAAAAGCTGATGTTCAATGGTCTTAAGTTCAGCGAGCTCCGGGAATCGTTTGGCCTTCTCACCGGGCTGACTGAGCTGCAAATTATATGCTGCAGCGAGCTCCACCACTTGCCCGATTCCTTTGGAGGCCTTTGCTCCCTGGTCAAGCTCACCATATTCCATGCAGAGAAGCTGGAGGACCTTCCTGGCAGCATTGGCCGCCTTCAGAACCTTCAAGAGTTCTTCATGAATGGCAACCGGTTCCTTTCCAGGCTCCCACATTCGTTCGTCTTGCTTACTTCGCTACGAGTCCTTACCATCAAACATTGCAATGCACTGAGGGAACTTCCAGAAAGCATGGATCGCCTCTCATCGCTGGAGCATTTGGAGCTGTGCCAGCTCAGCAGCCTACTCGCCTTCCATATCGGCTCTCCAAAGTTCGAACGTTCTCCTTCAATCACTGCAACAGCGTCACCAGAGTGCCTCCATCCCTGCTCCACTACTGGAAGCCGAGCCTCACGACTCTTGAGTTCGAATGGCCAACCAGCTGCCCGGCTGGGGATGCGAGAGATGAGACATTTCTCATTGACGGCTTCGTGTGGTCCGTTTGCAGGCTTGAGAACCTTTCAGCCCTCCGCCTGTCTGGCGTTCCCCGCATGACTTCATTCCCGAATGAAACGTATCAACTTAAACGGCTGCAGCGGCTGACTCTTTGTTCCTGCCCTCACTTGCGATCCTTGCACAGCATATATCGGCATGTCACCAGCCTCACAGCCCTGGAGATTACGGCGTGCCCTGCTTTTGAGGACCAGGCAGAAAAAATCTCCCACATGCTATCTCTGGAGAGCGGATGCATCAACGGTAGACCGGTGGGGAGAGGAAGGACTGGAGGAGCCGTGTGAACGTGGGAAGTCGGACAGCACTTACTCGGTGATGTGGTGAGGCGGGATGGAGGTGGGTGTAGTGAGGTTGTATGGAGGTGGGTGCATGCAGTGAGGTTGGATGGAGGTGGGTGCAGTGAGGATTGCTGGGGTGGTATGGGACAGGGTGTGTTGATGCAGGGGTATTGGTCAGTTTCTCATTTTGTTGCTGAGTGTCATGTGTTGGTGTTGGCTGTGATGTGTTGGTGCGGGTTGAAGTCTCACACAACTCTTCGTTCCTCTCCCCCTTACCCGGCCCATTGTATCATGCGTCTTGCATCATCAGTGCTGGTCTGAGCTTAGTGTGGCATGGCAGGTGCGGTACAAGGGAGACATGGGAATGGCATGGGAAGGAGCATGCTTATGGAATGTAACTGGAATTTTTTTATCCATTGAACTCTCGTGTACTGAGTTTGTTGGTGCTTGGCTGGGCGGGCTTGTGTGCTGAGGCTCCGAGAATCCAACTCTTGGGAGCATGGAAGACGGAGATGCCGGTGTTAGCCTGCCACCTTGGTTACCTTACTTTGAGTACTGTACATATGCTTTTATTGGTGAGGCTTTAGATATGTTCTGCAATTCATGCTAAAATTTAGTGGTTACATTTTGAGAGATACGATGTACCCGTTTCAGCAGTTACACCAATCTGATAGTAACATGTTCATGAACAGTTTTCAATCGCCACTACTTCATTCACATTGAGGTTGGAAGGACTCCCCCTCGGTCAGACTAGTTCAGACTGTATCTACTGTAAATGCATTGGTAAGTAACACGCGCAAATCAAGTTGGTAGAATGCTCAAACACATTATTTTATACTTAACAATGTCTGAATGAGTTAATATGCAATGCACCCAGGAGCCCATCGTGCACAAGTGGAGGTGGAAGCACTGTGGCTGCTACCATGTGGCTGCACCTGCTACCATGTGGCTGCACCTGCTGCCATGTGGCTGCACCTGCTGCCATGTGGCTGCACCTGCTGCCATGTGGCTGCACCTGCTGCCATGTGGCTGCACCTGCTGCCATGTGGCTGCACCTGCTGCCATGTGGCTGCACCTGCTGCCATGTGGCTGCACCTGCTGCCATGTGGCTGCACCTGCTGCCATGTGGCTGCACCTGCTGCCATGTGGCTGCACCTGCTGCCATGTGGCTGCACCTGCTGCCATGTGGCTGCACCTGCTGCCATGTGGCTGCACCTGCTGCCATGTGGCTGCACCTGCTGCCATGTGGCTGCACCTGCTGCCATGTGGCTGCACCTGCTGCCATGTGGCTGCACCTGCTGCCATGTGGCTGCAACGAGAGAGCAGGGATGGTGCTGGGAGTGAGTTCTAGATTCAGCGTACACCTCCATGACTGGGAAACCTGACTGGGAAACCTGACTGGGAAACCTGAGTGGGGAACCTGACTAGGGAACCTGACTGGGAAACCTGACTGGGAAACCTGAGTGGGGAACCTGACTAGGAAACCTGAATGGGGAACCTGACTAGGAAACCTGACTGTGGAACCTGACTGGGGAACCTGAATAGGAAACCTGACTGGGGAACCTGACTGGGAAACCTGACTGGGGAACCTGAATAGGAAACCTGACTGGGAAACCTGACTGGGGAACCTGAATAGGAAACCTGACTGGGGAACCTGACTGGGAAACCTGACTGGGGAACCTGAATAGGAAACCTGACTGGGAAACCTGACTGGGGAACCTGAATAGGAAACCTGACTGGGGAACCTGACTGGGAAACCTGACTAGGAAACCTGACTGGGAAACCTGACTGGGGAACCTGAATAGGAAAGCTGACTGGGGAACCTGACTGGGAAACCTGACTGTGAAACCTGACTGGGGAACCTGAATAGGAAACCTGACTGGGAATCCTGACTGGGGAACCTGACTGGGGAACCTGACTGGGGAACCTGAATAGGAAACCTGACTGGGAAACCTGACTGGGGAACCTGACTGGGGAACCTGACTGGGGAACCTGACTGGGAAACCTGAATAGGAAACCTGACTGGGGAACCCGACTAGGAAACCTGACTGGGGAACCTGAAAAGGAAACCTGACTGGGAAACCTGACTAGGGAACCTGACTGGGAAACCTGACTGAAAAACCTGAATGGGGAACCTGACTAGGAAACCTGACTGGGAAACCTGACTGGGAAACCTGACTGGGAAACCTGAGTGGGGAACCTGACTGGGGAACCTGAATAGGAAACCTGACGGGGGAACCTGACTGGGAAACCTGACTGGGAAACCTGAATAGGAAACCTGACTGGGAAACCTGACTGGGAAACCTGACTAGGAAACCTGACTGGGGAATCTGACTAGGAAACCTGACTAGGAAACCTGACTGGGGAACCTGACTGGGGAACCTGACTGGGGAACCTGAATAGGAAACCTGACTGGGAAACCTGACTGGGAAACCTGACTGGGGAACCTGACTAGGAAACCTGACTGGGAAACCTGACTGGGAAACCTGACTGGCGAACCTGACTGGGAAACCTGAGTGGGGAACCTGACTGGGGAACCTGAATAGGAAACCTGACTGGGGAACCTGACTGGGAAACCTGAGTGGGAAACCTGAATAGGAAACCTGACTGGGAAACCTGAGTGGGGAACCTGACTGGGGAACCTGAATAGGAAACCTGACTGGGGAACCTGACTGGGAAACCTGACTGGGAAACCTGAATAGGAAACCTGACTGGGAAACCTGAATAGGGAACCTGACTGGGGAACCTGACTAGGAAACCTGACTGGGAAACCTGAGTGGGGAACCTGACTAGGAAACCTGACTGGGGAACCTGACTAGGAAACCTGACTGGGGAACCTGACTGGGGAACCTGACTGGGGAACCTGACTGGGAAACCTGAATAGGAAACCTGACTGGGGAACCTGACTGGGGAACGTGACTGGGGAACCTGACTGGGGAACCTGACTGGGGAACCTGACTGGGGAACCTGACTGGGAAACCTGACTGGGAAACCTGAGTGGGGAACCTGACTAGGAAACCTGACTGGGGAACCTGACTAGGAAACCTGACTGGGGAACCAGACTGGGAAACCTGAGTGGGGAACCTGACTGGGGAACCTGAATAGGGAACCTGACTGGGGAACCTGACTGGGAAACCTGACTGGGAAACCTGAGTGGGGAACCTGACTAGGAAACCTGACTGGGGAACCTGACTAGGAAACCTGAGTGGGAAACCTGACTGGGAAACCTGACTAGGAAACCTGATTGGGGAACCTGACTAGGAAACCTGACTAGGAAACCTGACTGGGGAACCTGACTGGGGAACCTGACTGGGGAACCTGAATAGGAAACCTGACTGGGAAACCTGACTAGGAAACCTGACCTGGCTGATAGATTAGTGTATAGCTCGAAAGAATGGCTGGAGAGTCAGTGAGGGTTACGGTATGTAAATAAGCACGATAGAGTCAGATTACTTCACTACCGTGCTCTGCTCTTTTGCCCTTTTTTCCCCATCCTTTCTGGCAGGAATGGGTAGTCATGCCCGTGTCACCGGAGAGGTGGGAGGTGTGGTGGATGGCGAGGAAGGTGTGGGATGGGTGCCGCCTTAGTCTTGGTATTCATGCTCATTCATGTACAGTCCATGTAAGCATCATCTTTCATGACCTGGTACGAATGAGTGTGTTACGAGGAAATATCAAAATATAGACTGATTTTGCTTCACGATTGGATTAGACAAATTTAGCACGAAGCATAAGATTGAAAAACATGGTAAGTTTGAAAAATATCATCATAACCCCTCAGTGCAACTGGCATGACTGTGATGCATGCATTCAGGCATGGATGTTCTATCCATGCGCTGCCTGCATTAATGAGTGCATCCCATCCACATGCGATAATTGCTTTTCTTTGCTCATGCCTCACCCACTCTCTCAAATTCATGCATCCCATGCCATCACGTCAGCACCCTAGACTGCTGGTGCCCATGATTTGCTTGTACTAATATTTGCTCATGTGTGCTTGATATGACTTTTTGCCCATGTGTGCAGGTTCTGCATTTGTTCTCTTGTATGCATGGTATGCATCTTTCCTAGTGTGTGCATGATGTGCCTCTTTGCTCATGTGTGCATGGTATGCCTCTTATTCCCATTCTCATGATGCAATCTCCATTGATCCCGTTCTCGTGGTAAGATTCACATAATCTCATTCTCATGATCCCATTTTTCGTGAAACCCATCTCATGATCTCGTTCTCGTTGTCTCACTCTCTTATCCCCCTTCTCATGATCTCCTTATTGTGATCCCAATCCCCTGGTCTCAATCCCCTGATTTCATTTTTATTATCTGATCCAATGCTCATGATTTCATCCAGATAATCGTCCCATTCTCAAATCCCATCCCCATGTTCCCCTTCTAAAATCAAATCTACATTCCCAAGATTCCAGCTTCATAATTTGATTCACACGGTCTTTCATTCCCACGATCCCAAAATCCACAATCTCATTCTCATTACCACATTCAAAAGACCGTGATCGCATTTTCGAAGTCCCCTTCTCTGATCTCATTAGCACGACTCGATTCTCGTCGTACCATACCTATAATCCCATTCAAATTACCCCATTCTCAAGATGACACTTCTGTGATCCCGTTCTCATGACCTGGATCACGTTCCTGTAATACCACTCTAATTCCCATTCTCAAAATTTCTATTCCAGTTATCCCATTGATGTGATCGCAATCGCATAGGTCCATGATCATACTTGCATTTCCCATTATCCCATTCTCATTGTCTCTTCCCACTCTACTGATCCCCTAGTCCTGGTTACAAATTTATGATCCCAGTCCCATTGCCCCTTTTCTAATTCCTTTTTTCTTCATCACAATACCGGGACTTCATTTCAGTTATTGCCTTATCGTAATTTCCATCTTGTGACCCCAACTCTACGGTCTCACTCTCATGATCTCATTTGCATTGTTCGATTCTCATCATAACATTCTCATTATCCCATTCTCTTAATCCCATCTACTTGATCACATGCCCTTGAATCCATTCCCACGATCTCATGTCTATGATTCGATTCTTGAAAATCCATTCCCATTATCCTTATTCATGTGATCCCATCTCATAGGCCCGTGTCATGCTTCAGTCAACTTCCTATTATCATTTCGCTGGTATAAAACTTCCTGGCGAGCTCCGATCACCCCAAGTTGGCACGAGCTCGTAATGTACCTTGCTTCTCACCCCATTGTTCTAGGCTTCCTTCCTTGGCCACTTACTTATCATTGCCATTTCCCGCAATGTTTGCATTTTCCCAGTCACCTTCTTTTGTCATTTTCGCATAGTCATTGTTATAGGCTTCTTTCCTTCGTATTCCCAGATCTCTTGCCCAGTTAGCATTTCAAGTATCAAGTCCAGATCTCAATGTCATTTGTCCTGCCCAACGTCATTTGTCCTGCCCAATGTCATTTGTCCTGCCCAATGTCATTTGTCCTGCCCAATGTCATTTGTCCTGCCCAATGTCATTTGTCCTGCCCAATGTCATTTGTCCTGCCCAGTATCATTTGTCCTGCCCAATGTCATTTGTCCTGCCCAATGTCATTTGTCCTGCGCAATGTCATTTGTCCTGCCCAATGTCATTTGTCCTGCCCAACCTCATAGTCATCTTCCAGCCAACGACCCACATCCAACTTCCCATCGCCAATTTTAGTGCCCTGTCATTTAAGCCTAATCATGTTGCCATTTTCCCAGCCAACTCCCCATTGCCCCTTGGCAGTCAACATCTCATTGTCATCCACTCAACCTCCTATTGTTACCTTTCCAGTGAAATCGTGATCGCCAGTCTTCCTGCCAGCTTCATGGACCTAAACTCCCATGGCATCGTTTTCCTCTTGCCTCCTCCTTGCACTGACCTTTCAGGCATGGGCTGCCACAGACCCGCCCCATCCACCTGCCCATCATCCCAGCACCCGTCTTTCATTGCATGCCTGCCATGCATATGTGGTGCATTGGGGGTACCACTCCCACACCTCTCATCCCTGCCGCCTGCCATTAGCCATGCATGTCATTCAGCCAATGCATGTGAGTGAACCATACTTCTGCTTGATATTGGTGTATTGGTGGAGGATAACAAGCACTATACTTCTGCTTCATGGTTTCGGGGTGTGTTCTGAATCGTTGCACCAGCCTCTTCATCACTGGAAGGGCGTGTTGGTGCGGTCCTGTGTGTTGGGGCATAGCACGAGGTGTGCAAGGTGCTCCGATTCCAATTAACCCATGCCATGATCCCATCTCCGTGGTCCCATTTCCATAGGCCCTTTATAATGCATCCTTTCAACTTCCTGTATTTATTTTTGCAGGCTCATGTTAGAGTTCTGGTCAAGTGTGCATGACTGA